GAGAGAGAGAGAGAGAGAGAGAGAGAGAGCTGCAGCTTCAGGATGAAAACTATACACCCCCTTTCGGAAAATAAAGCAGTGGGTGCCAATGCAGCAACACACGCCAACCAGGAACAGTTGTAACTTTGTACGAGTCCTCCATGTGAAGGCTTACAGTACGTAGATGTCCATTAGGAAAAAGTTTTACTCAACACTTCCGTCCATTGACTGGTTCAAGAGGCCCCGAGATTTAAGTCCACTAAATAGGAACACGCGACACGTAGACTTGGAGCTTGAAAAACATACAGGCCAGCAGCAGGGATAACACACAAGGTTTTTTTGTATTTTGTTTTTGCTTTTTTTTTTTTTTTGGTGTTGTTTTTAATGAATGGGGTGGTCCGAGTTAGCCTCTGTTGGTTGGTTGCTGCGTCCTTGAAATACAAAACTCAACGATGCCAACCGTCTACTACTTACTAAAAGGTAAGGGCGATATCATTAGATTTTACTTGAATGTTCTAGTTAACACGGTTTACGACTCCAGCCAAGCACGACTGTTGCAAGCTGTCATCCCCCCCGCTGAATTCTCAGTACGTTTACATGCACACATTCATCAAGTAGTAGGTCCTACTCTCCATGTACTGGACTGCACACTTCTACCCGTCACAAGCAGTTTTCAATCCAAAATTAAATCCAATTCAATGTTTACGGGTATTAAGTAACACAGTTGTTGGCGTGTTCTCTAGCGCATGTGAACGTACTGAGGGAGTGACATTGATTTTTGTCCCTCGACAGTCCACTTGTGTCCAGTTGAGTCCGGTCTGGACTTGTCTGTGGTTCTCGACGGAAAAGCCCAGTCAGGTTGAATCCAGTTGACAGCTTTGTTTGCGAGCGTCTCTTCGGATGCGGTTTAAGCTGCTTGGTGGAGTTAGGTGAGGCTAACCACCAGAGCAGCCTAAAAAAAAAGTGTGCTCAGAGGGCTACCATGCTGGGTACCTCCTCGTAATGAATGATAAAGTATGGGTAGCTCTGGTCGTCGTTGAAGATGACGTAGATCTGAGGGTCCACCCAGTTGTCCACACAGGAGTCATACAGGTCACTAGAGGCGTCGCGGGGGTTGATGGGCGGCGGTCGTCGCATTGAAGGATTTCCTACAGTAAACCTGCACAGAGACGAGGCCGTGTTGAGTGCATGGCGACAATTAAGAGCATTATGTGGTTTTCAGACAAACGTCTGTCTGGAGGGTTACGGAATAATTCAGCATCTGGAAGAAGATGATCTAAATTTAATGATGACAAGACTGCTGCTCTTTTGTGTGCTTAAGAAAGCTTGAATAATATAAGCGTCGGAGCATGTGGCTTCATATCAGAGCATGAACCTTGTGTGGTGAACGTATGTGAGATGAGCCTACGCGATGCCACCGCTTTGTTTGTGCAGGCCTAAAGAGCCATAAACCATAAATCTTTGCAAAGCTCTCTGGGGTTATGAATAAAATACATTATACATCGAGGACATTTACCGCGACGCACTTTAAAAGCATGAGCGTGAACGTCATTGTACAGTGGACTTGTCTTGGATGACTTGACTTTGTGGTGCTGATTCTGTCAAAAGTTGCTCAAATTTCCACACACCTGCCAGTGAGCACTTTGGCCAGGAACATGCAGTGGACTCCTTTGGGCGAGCGCTTGGAGAAGTTGTGCGAGTAAACGGCCTTCCGGGCAAAGTAGGAGCCCTGGCCGAACATGGTGGCGTGTTTGCCACAGACCCTCGGGTCAAAGTTGTGCTTGCAGATGCCCTCCACAACGTCTGCCGAGGTGCCGTGGAAGAGATGACGCTCGCTCAGCAGCCGGTCCATTTCGGACATCCGCCTGGACATGTACTCCTTCTTCCTGTTGGATTGGACAAAGAGGCTCAGTCACACATTCACATATGTTCATTTTGTTTTAAAAGGTATCCATAACAGCACTTGAAAGTGGACAAGATACACCCTGGAATGCTCGTCAATCACAAACCACACGGAGACGAAATTTTCCACTCACATTCACACCTTTGGAAAACATAGTCTTCTGAATACATGTTCCGGGAAGCGAATGGCTGCGGCGAGATTCAAATCAAGACACTTTGACTATGAGGTAAATATGCTAACCATATGCACCTCAACGCCGTCCCACTAAAAAGTATGAAAAAAAAATCTACCGCTGTACAAATGCAGGTGATAAATTAGCATAAAACAACAACCTTGTTTGCGCTAAAACCAGTTAGAACATTGGGCGTAATCCGTTTCTTGAGCAACACGCACACGACTCGTTTTGTGAGCGGATCAATCAGGCATACGCAGGCCAAAGCCAACTCGGCGGTGACCCTGGCATCACCTCCCGTGATCCTGCCGCTTGTGACTTGACACAGACAGCCACTGAACATATTCCAAACACACACCCTTCAATTTTTTTACCAACAAATTGCATGGCACAGTATGCATGCAGTTACACGCGCATGCAGTTACACACACACACACACACACACACACACACACACACACAGGGGGGGGGTGTAATCAAGTGATGGCCAGAATGGGGCCTCACTCTTAGAATGACACAACGCCAGTCATTGTGAAACGCTTGCGGTACCAGTCTGTGTAAGTGTGTCACCGCTGATCGGACCCGCCCTGCTCCGACCGCAGTGGCTTGCCCACTGTGCTCACAAACGGAACATCGCCATCACCCAAACATCACCCCATCCGCTTCATTCGCACACAAACGTCAGCTCGCTCTCACGAAGCTCCACCAGCGCTAGTTTCATTTATCCTTTCTTCCTCTTCCCCTTCGCAGTGTTTCACATCCCGCCCTATGTAATCACGTCTCTGTGCAAATCCAGCTGAGTGTGAAATGCTCACATACTCATCAACAGCAACAATCAACCAGGGGGTTGACGCGTTTTATTTTTCTGGTCACGGCAAAAAAAAAAAAAAAAAAAAAGGAATTAAAAGCATCGCTGCTGGATTTGCATACATGTCAATGACACAGCATCTTTTTCTGCTTGTATCTCGTTGCAACACAATAAAAAATAAAGTTTGAGAATCCATGTCATGTTGTCTTTTCTTTTTTTTTTTGCTTTGTTTGATTTTTTGGGGGGAAAATAGAGTTCAGGAGTGAAACACTTATTTGAGTCCTTCATTCTGTAACAAGTTGCTAACCCAGCCGCTGGGGAGCAGTGCCCTCCCCTGGGGGTACACTGTTCCCCGGTGCCGGTCCCAAGCCCGGAGAAATGGGGAGGGTTGTGTCAGGAAGGGCATCCGGCGTAAAACTTTTGCCAAGACGGACATGCGAGTTGATAGGGCGGTTTGCAGGGACGGATGGGAATTAATGACTCGCTGTGGCGACCCCTGAAAAGGGACGTGCCGAAAGGAGAAGAAGAAGAAGAAGAATTCTGTAACAAGTTGCTAAATTGGATCGGAATGACTGCGTGGAAAGGGTTGATGAAGAAACGCACCACTCACCTTTTGTACTTCTCCCAGAGGAAAGGGTTTTGTACCCGGAGTATCTTAATGATCCTGAACTTGGTCTCCGCCACCGTTTTGTGGAACAAGCTGTACACGGTCCTGTAGCTGCGATCGTCGCGGGACACGGGCACCTGCAGAAAGTCTTGGCTCACTGCCATGGGCAACCAGGTCTCTGGGAAAAGGCTCGGCGGGTTGGTGCTGGTCGGGGAGAGCGGATGCGACACCGTGACATCCATTGATGATGCGGACGACAGGGAGGAGGAAGAACTAGACAGTGGAGACGAAGCGATGCCACCCAAAGTCCTGGACAGTAGAGACGGAAGTGTTTTACCCACATTACATTCTCGCTCAGACTCAACTCATTTGCGGCAGGTAATGGAAGGTAAAATAGATTTGGTCTGCGTTATAAATTTCATGACCTTCCATTTGTGCATTGACAGTGATCAAAAGATTGGAAAAGGGAATCTAAAACCAGCCATGAAATATTTTAGTTGTAATGAATGTTGTGTCAAAACTGTGGATTAGCGGTTAACGCGCCAAGCCAACAAATCTCAGCGCCGACATTCCCATGTGGAGTTTGCAGTTTGGTTTCCCCGTACATATGTTCATATTTTTTTATTTTGGGCCGGCACGGCTCCAGGACTTTTTTTTTTTCCTCTCTCAGGGCTGAGCCTCCCCTTTGTCTCGCCACTGTCTGTTTTCTTCCCAGTCTGAGCTTCGCTGTTGTCAAAATGCTGTTTATTCTAACGACCATGCTTGGTCTTCCACAATATCCCTCCAGCCCTGTCAACGACGACGCCAGTTTGTAACGGAGCTGAGAAAGCCAAACAACAGACACGAGAGCGAGAGACAAATGAATCGCAGATTGCGGAGCGGTCATTGTGTCAGGAAAACCCACTTTGTCTGTCATGTGGGTCACGAACAGCGGTTTGTCTGTCAACTTCTCACTCTCCCGCTGTAAATGAAGCCAGTGCCATGAGCCACAAGAACGTGAGCCCGGGGTGTGTTGTCAAGAGATTTTGATCAGTTTGACTCTAAGTCACACTGACAGTTTTTCTCATCCTGTCTGTCTGGTGTCGATCTCGCGCGACCGACGACGTCTGGATCCCCAAGGGGCCTTTGAAGCATTGACGCTAAACAATTGAGAAATGAAACAATAACAAGGGACCAGCGGATTGAAAAGGAGCGACAGCGTCACTCAAACAAACAACCTCAACTTTTACGCTTCTTGCCGGTTGTTCCTAACGCGCGCGCGCGTTTGTTTTGGACACGAAAAACTCGGGACACTGGATTCACTGGAAACTGTTGAGAACAAAATCCCCCGTTCCAAATTCCAGATCGCAGTCACGTTTCACACTCCATTCAACTGGTCTGGAAGGCATTTAGCGCCCTCCATCTTTCACTTTCTTGGCCGTGCGCCTCGCTTTCTCTCTTTCTCACTCACTGTCTCTCTGTGTCCCCTGCACCCACCATCTCATCTTCTTTCCTCCATCTCCGACACTCCTACATTTTTTCCTTTTCATAGCTGCCAGGTCCTGTACGAACAGCTCGTTCTAATTCGCTCAGTGTGGGATGAGAGCAGATGACTGGCCCTCTGCCGAGGACGTGAAAAACTCTGCAAATGAGGTGAGATGACACTTGTTTTGAATCTGGTATCACATTCTTCTGGACTATCACTGCAGCGAGGGGTGCGAATCATCCCACTACTCGAGAAAATGGCCACAGGGAGAAGTGGGATCTCTCCAAGCCGCTTGTTTCCATCCTTGGTTTCCTGTTTTTCCGCAGGAAAAATTTGGTTTAGGTTCTTGTCTGTTTCTGTCTCGCAGAGCCCTTTTCCACCAGTGCACTCAGAGGACACTTTGCTTCTGCACTTTGCCATTTTGGTGACCGGATCAAAGCCGAGCCAACCAAGAATCAACCACTCGTCGCTCGCTATGCTGTCAATATCAGGACATCACATTTACATGGACTACCGGTCCTCAATGTGCACCACAGATAGACCAGTGACCTTCGCGTTTCCACCTTTCCGAGTTCAACTTTTTAAATTTCACATTGTTCAACAACTGATTCTCAACGTGCATTCATTCGGAATGCATATTTGAAATGATTTTTGCCTTGGTGTCTGTGACATATTTGTGGCCTGGATAGTAAACACAGCTCAGGGATATTTCATATCAAGTCAAATATTTTACTTACTCTAGATGAGGGGCAAGCATCACCGAGGACATGAACATGGGCCGCTTCTTGATCTGACGCCTGAAGCCAAACATGGCATTCTGCTGGAAGCCCTCCCTGATGTTTAGGATGTACTGGTTCTGGAGCGTAATGAATCGCACCTCCTTGAGACCCCTCAGAGTTGCCTTTTCTATTAGCTTCACCACAGGCTATTGGAGAGAAGTGGAAGGGGGAAGCGATGGACATGGAAAGAAGATCATTAAGATGCATGGAACGGCTGAGTGTTTTTTTTTTTACAGTCAATAGAGGGAATGGGGCACATAATAGGTTGATGATTTGGTTGGGAAAAAATGCAAATGGCTTATAACAGCTGTGTTACAAGTGTTAAGTGTCACTGTCGTGGATTCAGATGAGCCCGTATTGATCCCGCCCCAGCTGCTGGCTAACTGATTGATCGAGGTAGGGTTAATGTGTCTGGACTCGAGGTCATGAGCGCGCCTCACCTCGGAGTATTCCCTCCAGCCAAAGTTGTCTCTGCAGTAGTACTTCCACACCGTGTGACAGCTAGAGGTGGGGTTTGGGTTCGTCACGGGCATGGCGAGAGGATTGGGGGGAGTGGACAGCCGGCGGACACGATCAAACTTCAGGTCACACACCCGCATGGCTCCAAAGTCCAGGGAAAACACCGATCCCCTGAAACACGCAGTGGAAAATGAAGATGTTATTGAAAATTGCAAATTTCCCCAGTGCGGGACAAATAAAGTTTATCTTATATTAAAACAAAATCTCGGTCATTTGTATTCATGGGATATGATCCTCTCTTGTAAACTGGTCAATGTTCATGAAGCAGGCATATTAACCAATATGACCGGACCGAATTACTCAGCCAATGAGCCCGTCTGGACAAACACAACTTTTACATCACTTGGCGGCTAACAAGCGGAAACGCGTGAATGTCGTCATGGAAACATGAAATCTACACACTGTGTAATGATGCTGCATGTGATCAAAAGGCTCATGGTGAAGCTGCATTTAAATCCAGAAAAGGAATACAAAACGATGCACCAAAACTCTTTACTCGGCATTTCACCACTTGCAATGTTGTGATTTGAGTCTTTTTATAATGAAGAAGTGACTTTCGGCTTTTCCCTCATGTCCAATGACATACGCATCTACAGAGTACTGATTCAGCTAAAGCTAACATAGCAGGATGTCATTACTTAGTAAGGAATAGTCAATTATTCTTCATGTAAACACAAGAGCACATTTTGAATCGATACATATTTCCAGAGCTATTTTCCAAAGCGCTGTAAATCCGTTTTAACAAACACTAATTTTATCCTGCTAAGCAATGAATTTGCTCAGTCTGAACATGTTCGACAAAAGTTCATCTTCTCTCTCTCTCTTTCTCTGTCTATATGTCTGCATCGAGTCAAACATTTTATTTTGTCAAGCTCAGCAAGCACCATCTAACGTCTCGATATGATAGACTGTAGCTTAATTGGCGACAGCATCGTTTGTGGAATGACAAACAAACACGATTTGCAGTTTGGTAGCACCATTGCTCTTATATGCACGCGCATTAGCATCCTGGCTATTGGACAAAATACTGTAGCTTGTTCATGACCTCTCTTAAGCTCGCTGGGTCATCACCTCATAGTGTGTGTGTGTGTGTGTGTGTGTGTGTGTGCGTGTGTGTGTGTGTGTGTGTGTGTGTGTGTGTGTGTGTGTGTGTGTATTGCGGGGGGGTTGACAGTCTATCTACATTGGTCTGCCATATGGCCTCTGGCAAATAGTGTTTCTGGGTCAGACATAACACTTGCATAAATACGGGCACCATATATTGGCACGCTAGGCCACAGACAGTGGTGAGACGGATAAACGTGAGCGCGCACACGCACAAAATATTGCCAAATATATACTCATTCAGGTAAAATAAACAAAATATGCACGCTAAAGGTTAACTAATTGGCCGATTGATTGTGCTTCCCGGGGAAACTAAGTTCGTGATGTCTGTGCGTTGGGAAATGGGTTAAAAGTAAAGATTGTCTGGAAGCATTCAAAGGATGAAATCGAATCCAATTGTGCGGAAGTTGAGAAATAAAGGGGGCCAGCCCGTTTGTGTAATACCACCTTTTAACCAAAACCAGATAAACCGGCACTTTTTGCAAACATTTGCTAACAATGGCGCAACACAGCTTCTCCATTCATGTGCAAATTCACTGCATCGCCACCGTGCCCAGGCGGCTTCCTTCAAAACTGCTGCTTTCACACACTCCTGCTAAATCTGGTACATGGGCAACCAACTCCCTCACTCAGCAGAACAGGTCAACTTCGCAGCAGACATAGGAAAACACAAATTCCAATCATATTTCTGTGTCAAAACTAATTTGGAATGTTTATAACGTCTTGAGCAGGTAAAATTGGGGGTTTTTCATGAGCTCTCGGCCATAATCCTCAATAAGTGATTAAGCTGCACCTTTACCTTTACCTCCACTGTACAAAACAAGGTGCCGAGTCATGCCTGAAGCACACTTCGAGATCAACTGGATGTACTGCATATATAGTCGCAGTCTGTTTCGACTTAGTTATCGCGTGACCGAATGAGCGTTTGTAAGAGGAAGTAAAACTGGAATAAATATGCAGACTGAACCGTTGGACTGTTCCGAGAATGTACTTCAGAGAATGTACTTCACGCAAAACTTTGGGCCATTTCCAGTCGTTTGGTGATGTTTGATGATGACATCGAAAGTGAATTGTAACTGCAATTGCGGACCTGAGAGAGAGGAAGAGGAAGGATCCAGGAGGATCAAAGAGAAGAAATTTGAGAAAATTTAACAGCGCATGCACGTGGATTCAGATAAAAGTACATTCTTCATTGTTTCGATGTTTTGATGGACTGCTTCTTTCCTTTTGTTTTGGATGGAAGCCCTCCGGATGCAGCTGCACGCCCCCCCCCCCCATCGACATACATACACACAACCCCCTCTTTACACATACACACAACGGCTGTTTGGGCACGTTCAGTATATTCTGTTGAGCAAGCACATTTTCAACTGTTATTATCAGTATACAAAGTGCACTTTTGTGGCATTTACAGGCATCCTCCCCGCCCACCCATTGTGTCTCCCACCGTGTGGCCCGAACAGAAAAATATTTGGACAGCAGACGGGACAGCCAGTGATTTTCACAGCCATTTGACTGAGCTCTGCCCTCCCTTGCTCCCCGACTGGGTTTGTAATGTTCCAAAAATAAAATTCCGCCAGTTAAATTAAGTGCACTCAAATGGGGTGCTTTGGACACGGAGGCTAATCAAAAGTTGGAAAAGAGACGTTTTTTGGCACTCACTCTGGCAAGGTCAACTTGGTACGCTACATGTGTAAAGAACAAAATGAATACATCTGCTGACTTGAACCGAGGTGTGCTTAAGGTGTGGAGGCAGGCCACGGAGAGAGAGAAAAAAAAACAGACAAACCTGCTCTGTACAAAGCAGCTGAACGTTCACAGTTCATTGCGAAGGGCGAGGCGACACTGTTGCTGGAAAAAGAACAAGCCTTTCACCCAGTGTCAAAAAAAAAAAAAACAGTTAAGAAAACTCACAGCATTGGAAAAAAGGCTGTTAATAATCACCCCCCCACCCTTCCCCGGTTCCTACACGCACACATACTACATGCCTTCAAAAGTTTCTCACGGCTCGACACACACAAACACACACGCAGACACGCAAACACACACACACACACACACACACACACACACACACACACACACACACAAACACACACACACACACACCTATATTCGTAAAAGA